GGGCCCATGGTGGGCATAGCAGCCTGCTGATTTCTGAATAGCGTTCGGGGACATACTTCCATCATCCCAGTGTTTTTTGAAGAATAGTGCCTGGCTTCTATTGAGATGACTGATCCACACTAATCTCCTGGTCAAATGGTGACTTGGCCTCATCACTAGATCTAATTTTCTGCAATATGTGTAGGCTGAGAATCTATAAGTTCTGCTCTTGTCTGCTCAGCGATTCTACCTGTAAGTCATTTCTTTTCACATTTCGCCATAAACTGTTGGGTGGAGCCTAGCCACACCTTCCACACATTGTTTAGAAAACTCTTCAGCTAGGGACTCCTAGGTGGCTCAGTTGGTTGAGCCTCTGACTTTGGCTCAGGTCATGATCTCACAGTTTGTGGGTTCAAGCTGTGCTGACAGCTCAGAGCTTGGAACCTGTTTCCAATTCTGTGTCTCCCTCTCTTTCTGCCCCTCCCCTGCTCATGCTGTGTCTCTCTCTCTTTCAAAGAATGAATAAACATCTAAAAAATAAAAATAAATCTCTTCAGCTAAACATCCAGTTCACCTGCAAGGTGGACACCTTTCACAAAATATCAGCACACAAATACAAATCAGCCAAGTTCTTTGGCTGATTTACAGAATTTACAGAAGGGATCACTTTTCCTTCAGTGTCCAATAACATGCTCCTCATTTCTGTGTGCCATCACCAGAATGGCCTTCACTGTCCACATGTCTACAAATGTTCCATTCATGGCCACTTAGGGGTTCTCTAAGGAGATGGAGGCTTTCTCCACAGCTCTCCTGTTTTCTTTCTGAACCCTCACCAGAATTACCTTTTAAAGGTTCATTCATGGCAATGTAGGCATCTCATTTCTAGCATGCATCTGAAAACTCTTCTGGCCTCAACCCATTGCCCACTTCCAAAGCCACTTCCACATTTTTGGGTATTTGTTACAGCTGTGCCCCATTTCTTGGTACCAATTCTGACTTAGTACGTTTGGGCTGCTATGACAAAAATACCATAGATTGGGTGGCTTAGACAACAAACATTTATTTCTCACAGTTCTGGAGGCTGGGAAGTCCAAGAGCAAAGCAGATTTGGTGTCTGGTGAGAACCTGCTTCCTATTTCACAGACCACCATCATCTCACATGGTGGAAAGAGGGCAAAAGAGCTCTCTGGGGTCACTTTTACAAAGGCACACTCTCATTCATGAGGGCTACATCCTATGACCTTATCACCTCCCAAATCTCTCCCACCCCATACCATCACATTGGGGGTCAGGAATTCAACATATGAATTTGAGGGGACACAAACATTCAGACCATATCAGCCTCCATGCCAGCACTTGCTATTGCCAGTCCTTTAAATTTTAGTCATTCTACACAGTGTGTGGTGGTATTATATTATGATTTTAATTTCTATTTACATTATTTTCCTTTGGCCTGAATAACTTTATTGTGCAGATCTGCTCATAAAGAATTCTAATAGCTTTTGTCCAAAGTCTTTATTTTGTCTTTAGTTTTAAGAGGGCAGAGGAAATTTGGGACCTCAGCTTCTCTTCCCTACTTCTCACTGAACAGAGTTCCTATGAATCTCTGCCACATGGTTAAGAAGTTTCTGCAAAGTGCCAGATCCACTTCCTGTCCTGAGAGGCTTCTTGGAGATTCTGGCTGGAAGTCCTGATTCCTTTGATCTCTGTTTGGGTTAGGGAATATAAGGTGGGATCTTTGTGGGTCTGCAAGTGGCAGAGGGTGTGAAAAAAAGAAAAGTGTGGGGTTTGGGTGGTAGGATGAGTGTGTTCATAAAACAACGGTGACTTCTTTTGTCTGTGCTCTCCCAATGGTTCTGGGACTGGGAATAATGCGATTATTCTTTATCCCTTTTGTTGTTTTGAAGTTTAATTGTAGGTCAGACTGTTATTGTCTAGAATTGGGGAAAGAATTTCATTTCATGCTATAAAACAACATGAAGAGAGTTGGAAACTGATTACTCCACTCCACCTGAACCTCTGGCCTCCTTTATTTGATTCCCACCAACAACCTTATGCACTTTAACATCTTAGCTACTTACTACAATACCAGAGCAGAAACAGAGGGAACAGATGAGAACAAGGCAGTAGGTCCCCTAAAGCCTACTTTAGGCCTAAAGGCCTAAAGGCGCCAATCGCAGACACTTCTCTTGGTGCTGGCCCTGGGACCCCTGTGCCCTGAGGAGGGCTGCAGCAAGAACTAAGATTTGGCAAGGCATCAGAGAACCCAACCTTATGAATCCCCCGCCTCTGACAACTGCAACAGGTTGGACGATTTGATCTCTCTGCCTGCCCCATCATGGCCCTGGGGAAGGTGCAGGGCAGTGGCTCAGGCCCTACTTAGTAACCCCAAGCTCCCAAAGTACGGTTAAACTTTCATCAGCTAATGCGGGTGGCTAGCTTGCAGCTGCAGTTCCGCCCACTGGGAATGCTAGGAAGCGTCGGGCAATAAGCATTTGGGAGTTGTCCAGGGATAAAAGCCAGTTGCCTTTGGAGCCCTCTGCTGATAATGCACCTTACTTTTGTGGAGGAGACACTGCGGCCCATCCGGTCGCTGGCTTCAGCATCTCGCTCTCCATGCTCTTTCCTGCCACTTGGAGGTGTTCCAGGTGCGCGCCAGTGCCTGGGTTTACCCTTCCTGGAGCTGCGAGACAGCCTTGGCTCCAAGCAGGAACGGGGTAGAGTTTACTCCTATTCCGCTGTAGCGCCGCTACTCAGGGCCAGTTTGGGCCTGAAGCGCCCTCTGGCGGTGCTAGGTGCCGGGCCTCGACTTCTACGCACAGCGCCAGGCTTTGGGTTTGGTTCCTGGAATGCGCTGGACAGCGCCTGCCAGGCGGTCAAGCTCTGAAAACCAATCAGCCTTGATTATTACCTTACCTCTCTCTAGGTCGGGCACGGGGAGGAGCGACGCAGCCTTATACAGCTGCTAGGATGGGCGTGGCGGGGTTCCAGGGAGAACCAGGGTGCTGCTAAGCTTAGCTTCATCAGTGTGGACGTGTAGTTGTTGAACTGCCGTTTTTCTCTGAACTGGCCATTGCCAAGAGGAGCTAGACTGGGCTTGCTTGATCTCTTGGTGTTCCTAACCTCATCACCATCATAATTGAGCCACTTCCTTTCCTGGACATTGGAGCAGGAGGGATGTGGCTGTCTGGGGGAGCTGGAGGTCTCCCAGAGTAGAAGGCTGTCTTTACTGGGTGGAATGTGCATGGGAGGAATTTCAGAAACTTTCTCTTTTTGTTGATGTCATCACCTCTGAAGCTGAAGGTAGAGGAATCAGCGTGGTTTGGATATGGGTGAGGTGGGGTGGATCCCTGAAAATTGTGGACAGCCTCCAAACATAACTCACAGGAAAAATCTGGATTGGGCAGTGATGATGTCCATACATGACAAATTTCTACTGGGTGCCAGACAGGGCACAGGATTCAAGTGTGGCTGGGACAAATCACTGATCTCTGGCCTTTGAGGTATGCATGGGCCTTCTGAAATGGTTTTGGGACAGTCACAACTGTGGAAGAATACAGGGAATGCTTCTGATTATTGGGTCAGTAGAGACATGTCTTGGATTTCAGGCTGGTCCTGGTCTACACAGGGGCTACAGCATGCCAAGGCAAGTAGGGGTCCATGCCACTTCAGCAATAAGGACTGGACTGCATCCTAGGGACAGTTTGGCAAAGCCAAAGCAGGGATGGATAGTTGTTCTGCCCACCCAAGTGTGGCCCATACAGGCAGAACCCTTTTGGAGGGGACTGAGCTTCATTCAGGACCCTAACTTTGAGGGACTTGGGGCCTGACACCTGCAATTGTAGGGTCCAGACCCAAGATCAGATCTGGGTATCACATAATAACTCTTTGTAGCACTTCAAATTACAAACATTTTTAACACAATGTCTTCTCTCTTCTTCTCAACAGCTCTGGAAAGTAGGCCTGAAAATCCATACTAATAGGTGAGGATCTTTAGAGAGGGTAAAAGTCACATAGCCAGGGAGGGGCTTGAATCAAGACTCAAATAGCTGCCTTAGTCTTAGCAGATTTATCCACAAAGGCAATGACAGTCATGCGGGGGCCCTTATAGTAGTGGGAACCTGTGGACTGATGGGCCAACACAAAGGAGGAAACACTTAGGAGTGAGAATGACATATGGCCCTAGGTGGGCACTGCACATGTTGGGTGGGAGCCCTGGTTAGCCTGGGCAGTACTGAGGGCTTCAAGGAGACACAGGCTGTCAATGAAACATGACTGTCTATTCCTAAAGCCTGAGGTGCCACTCAAGGCCCATCATAGTTCACCTATCCAGACAGAGTCTCTTCTCTCTCACCTCTCCCTCCTGCCTTCTGTCCAAGCTTTGAGGTCCCAGAGAGCTCTGTGTCCCAGGGAGTCCCAGAGAGGCTGTGCCTGCTACTGCCTGGGTGTCCCCAGCCCAGCCTCTGGGCAGTGCAGTGCTGTCTCTTAGAGTTCAATAAACATTTGTCAGTGGTCAAGCCTCATCTTTCTTTCCTGAGACAAAAAGGGCCTATGCTGGGAAAAGCACATGTACCTCACTCTATCTAACCGATCGATCTAATCGGCCAGGGTCTGGACTTCTCATTTGCTAGACATAAGCAAATGAGATGTGGGGGGACGGAGTGGGCATGAGAACCCAGTGCCCTTGCAAGATTCGGAAATTCCAAGCCAGAAGGTAAAGGACATTTAGTCCCGTATATTCTTTTTACATGTGGGGCAACCGAACTGGAGAGTGGCAGTGGCTTGCTCCAAGTCAGAGTCCCTTAGGGACAGGGACAGGAATACATAACAAGTTCTCCCACTACAACTGTGATTTAATCCTGGAAACCAAAGGTGCCACTGGATGCGTATCGAGTGTATCGACTTTCTACTTATCAACTTATCAGGACTGGAGCAATGAGCAGGATCGATCCACTGCTTTTGACTGCCAGTAAGTGCTGCTCGAGGATTGGTCCGGGTTAAGGAAACAGGGGAAAAAGGCGTGCACGTGGCGCCCTCGGCTGGAGACTCGCGCGTTCGGGTGGGAGTGAGGCCGGGGAGCCACCATGGCGTCGCTGAGTTGTAGCGCCGTCGTCTGCGTGATTTGCTTGGAGGAGCCCAAATACCGCTGCCCCGCCTGCCGCATGCCCTAGTGAGAGTGGGGGTCGTGGGGGAGGAGGCCGGCGGGGCGGCTTGGGGACCGGGCGGGGGCCGCGGGAGGGTCCGCGCTGCTTTCCGGGCTGACGCGTTCATGGCCTCTGTTGTTGCAGCTGCTCCGTGGGCTGCTTCCGGAAGCACAAAGGTAAGGTCCTGGTGCCCCGCCTGAGCCTCCGGCGCTCCCCAAGTGCGGGCAGCCCCTCGACGAGCCCTGCTTCTCCCCAGGGCGAACCTCTACCTGTGAATGCTTCCTCGAGTTTCGAACAGCCAAAACTTATGCTCTGCCTTTCCTTTTATAGACCCCCCCCCCGCCCCGCTCCCCTATAGTGGACAGCTTTGGCTGTTAGAGTGGACCCTAGTAGTTTCTTCATTTTAGTATTCTGACACAGAAGCTGTGCTTGAGGTTAAAAACGTTTTCTTTCTTTTAAAATGCTTCGTTAGAAACGAGGTAGATTTGTTTATCATAAGGAGCGATTAGTCTACATTTTAACTTCAATCCAGGGTCTCTTCTCAGTCCTCAGGGACCCTTTGCCACGACCTCATGCTGGGTTGACTCTCTTATTAAAGTTCCTCATTGGTTTCTTGCCTCTAGTGTCCTCCCTTCCAGACTGACTCAGAGGTCCGTTTCAAGCTACTTCCTCTTTTTTTTTTTTTAAGACCCCAACATCCCTAGAGCATTTTCAAAGGAAACTTTTTGGTTTGAGATAGACAGGAAGGAAAACTGCTTTGCTGGAAATAGGGTCGTGGAGCCGGGTTGGGTAGGCTTTGCTCTGGCTGTGCAGCCCAGGGTGTCCCCCAAAAACCCCTAAGGCAACCTGGGGCAATCTGGAGATTTTAACTGTGTGTCCCTGCTGCTGCCAAGGTTTTTCCTGAAATGCACATTTGACTAATTCATTTCCTTGTTGAAAACTGCAGCCTGTCTAGCAAAGGAAGTCAGTGGTTCTTAACTTTGAGTATTGCTCTTCCTGGGGAGACGCATTGTCACGTTCTTTCTGTTGTCACGGTAGCTGAGGAGGGTTGAGGGCACTTCTGGCAATTGTATTGGCTCAGATAAACACCCTGTGGTGTGTGAGACTCACACCATTAAACACCTTTCAGCCCTGAACACCACAGCACCCTTGATATGAGAGACACTGGTCTTGGGAAGAAGGCCCAACCTCCCTCCTGTGTGGCATTCTTTTGCTCTTCCTTCACTTTTGTGTGCCCCAGCCACCTGCCAGGCCTGCCCTGTCAATCAGCTGGTAGTTGCTCATTACTGTGTCCTTGCACCTGACCCTATTCTTTCAGAGATCTGGTCCGGCCATCGACCTTTCCCTCTGCCAGGAATGCTCATTCCACCTGGCGTTTCCCTCTCAGGTGTTGTAGATCAGATTCTTCTCCATGTCTCTAATCGCCATCCCTAAGATGGGCCAGATGACTTCCATCTGTGTAATCCCAGTGGCACATGATACAAGCAAATTCGGTATCTGAAAGTGCTGAAAAAATAGTTTGCTAATTGAAGTCAGTGTGCCGCTTGATTTTGGGTGAAAGCCCTGTTGGGTTTGGCAGGGTAAGGAGGATGGGGACGGCCCCTCGGGGTGCATGAGGCCTATTTCCTCCACTCTCTGCCAAGCTCAGGGTTGCTTGTTTTCTGGATACTGCCCTTTGATCCCTCACTTCCTTTGGATCCATCCGTCTTCATCCCCATCCACATCTCTTATCTGGAACATGTTTCCCACCTAGATGCTGGCCTGGTGGAGAGGTGCGGCCTTGTCACTAAAGTATAAGTGATGTGCATCTGATTTGTGTCTCTTTCAGAGCAGTGCAACCCTAAAACTCGTCCTATGGAGAAAAAAAGATCAGCTGTTACTGCAACAAGTATAAAGCCTGCAGAAGACAGAGGTGGGATGGTTGATTTCAAACCAAGCAACCTAGGAAAAGGTTTCAAATAAAAGCTGAAAGGACAGAGAAGATGTGGGTTGGGGCAGGGAGTCAGGAACGATGGCTTCATCAAGGAGCAGCATCTTCCTTAGCCCGGAGCCAGGAGTGGGGGCACCTGTTATGTATTATAGAGCAGCCTGAAGGTATTATTAAGGACAAGAAACCCGGGGGGGGGAGGGGGGCAGAGGCAGAGGGCATAAAGGCTGTAGCTGTGGTTTGGGGATGAGGGGTGGACCCTACCGGCAGGATCCTTTTCCAGTCATGGCTTCAGGTCTCCCTCCATGGGCCTGGCCAGAGCTGTCAGTTACCCTGAGCTAGGCTTGGGTGGGCAGCTGCCTTTGGCCTAGGTCACCTTCTTGCTGTTGGGGGCTCCTCTGGAGCCGCTCATCCATCTCTCCAGACTTCAGTATCTCCTGGGTGTCATGTAGCATGCCAGTCTCTGAAAGCAGCCCCCCCTGGTGCCTGAACATTCACAGCATGGGGATAGCCTATTTCTGCCCTTTGAGAAACTTCCTTGTTGGGTTCAGGCAGTGCCAGAAATTTCTGGCCATGCTAAAAGCACGGGGCATTCACGTTAGTGAGTTTTTACAGAACACCTAGTTTTTTGGCTCCTGACAGGGCTGGAGCCATAGTCAGGGGAGCTGGGGTAATAGGAATTGGAAAATCATGCTCCTGGCCTAAAGAACACAGAGAAACATAGGAACAAGTATGTGAATGCTAGAATGTGCTTGTTAAAGTCACCAATTTTTTGCTTTCACTTTCTTTCCCTTTCCAAAAAGGAACTTTGGTACAGTTATAAGTTCCAGAAAAGTCATTTTTGTTTGTTTTGTCTACACCTACTTACTCCTGCTACTGTCACTTGTGTGCACATTTTTTACCTATTGCAGTAATTTTTAAAATCTGGCATCTAAGTGTTGTTTCTAGTCCTAATTAGTTGATTGTGTTCTGTATTCCTTAGATGATGATGACTCTGTAGCCGATTTTCTCAACAGTGATGAGGAAGAGGACAGAGTTCCTTTGCAGAATTTAAAGAATTTAGGTAAGTCTCTGCTGTGTTTACTTCTTGTCAGCCACTGATACATTTAATCCAATGTATAGAATGTGATTTTTTTTGTTATTAATACAGTTGATCTCCAATGCAGGGGTTGTGCTTCCCCCCCACCACTACCATGCAGTTGGAAATCTGTATATAACTTTTGACTCCCTCAGAATTTTACTAATAGCCTAGTGTTGACCGGAAGTCTTACCAATAACATAGTTAAAACATTTTGTATGTTATATTTATTATATACTGTCTTCTTATGGTAAATGAGAGAAAAGGAAATGTTGAGAAAGTCATAAGGAAGAGAATACACTTACAGCACTGTATTAATGGGAAAAGAATCCCTGTATAAATGGGCCTATGCAGTTCAAGCCTGTTGTTCAGGGTCAGCTGCACTTGAGAATGGCATGCAGAGCCCTTCATTGCATGATTCTGTGAGCACTCAGGGGTTCAACACCTCCCAGCCTGCCTACAGTTCTTTCCCTGGAATCCTGCTGGTTTTGCGGGTTGACAAAATTCTCCCTCAAGGCTTGGTTCAGGTTACCCTTCCTCAGCTACACTTCTCTTGACGTTTTGTCTTTCTCAGAAGTAAGCAGTTTTTTGCCTTTCAATGGGGCCTTGTAATATACCACTTGTATTTCATAGTAATTTCTCCCCCACCAATTTGTAGGACAGGGGCCTGCATTTATTCCCATGTGTACCCAGTGCTCAGTATATGGAGTAGCCATTAATGCAGACTGGGCAATCCCAGGATCTGATTTTTCAGAGGGATGCAGGTGTTAACAATGCCCAGCATTTGTGTAGGACTGTGCGGTCAGTCCTTATAGCAGTTCTGTGTGTGATCAGTGGGCCAGTGTAGTTCCTAAAGATGGGAGTTTTCATTATTTCCGTCTCATCATAGGCTGACTCTGCTTGGCACCTATTCCCATGGTAGTGGTTAGTAATACTGAGGGTAAAGCTGAGATATGAGGGTAGGGATGAAAAGTTTTGTAAACTGTAGAAAATGCAGATGTGAGTGTCTGTTCATTGCTACTGATCCTGCTTTGTGAGGGTCAAGCACTTGCTTAAACAGTGTTCAGAGTATGTGGTGTAACTGTCCTCACCCACTGAGCACCTTCAGGCCTATGAAGAACAAAAACAGCTTAATGCTATTGTTTTTTTGTGTTTCCTAATTGAAATGGCCTAAGGTTAAATTATTTACAGAGATCCCAAGAACAAGAATCTGTGATGGCATTTAACTTGGAAATCCTCTGATCTCGTCTTATTTATGTGAAGCATTGGTTTTAAAGGTTAAGCGAATGCAACACTCTTGATATTTTGTTACATTAGAAACATTTACCTTTTAACTATCTCCGTCTGTTCCCACTTGAACTCACATTGGCTTTCTTGTTCATTTTTAAGGGGAGTCTGCAGCATTAAGAAGCCTACTGCTCAATCCACACCTTAGACAGTTGATGGTCAGCCTCGATCAGGGAGACAACAAGGCAGAGCTCATGAGGGCCTGCATGCAGGAGCCCTTGTTTGTGGAGTTTGCCGACTGCTGTTTACGGATTGTGGAACCGTCCCAGGATGAGGATTCTTAAGATGGTTTATTGTGCTGCTTACTCAGTCATGTGCGTGGCTCAGAACCTGCCTGCTCCTTCTCCCAGGACAGCTAGTGAGGGGCCCTGAGCAGGGGGTGGTGACTTCCAGACTATAGGCTGGCTGATGTAGGGTGGGTAGGCCGCATACGTGTTTATCTCAAGCATTGTAGGCATGGATTTCAGGCAAGATGGGATGTTTGAGGTGGCAAACCCTTTATGGAAAGAGAATTTGACATTTAGGTGGTTGTCTTTAAATGTTTTATTTTTGGTACAGGTTAGACATCGCAAATGATACTATGAAGTTTTATATGCATTTAAGTTAAAACTTGTTCATTGTTGCTAAAGTCAAGATAAATAAAGTCAAGATATGGTTATTCTCTGGTTAACTACATTGTTCATCCTTAGTTCATAATTGCTTGAAATTACACTAAGTCAACATATTAAATAATAAGGTTTTGTTATTTTTAAAGGAACTAAATGGAAATACCCCAGTAGAAATTTTAGGGTTAATTTCAGGCTGACTTGGCCTGTTTTGTCTGCAGGGAATCAGAAGTGCCCCAATGTAGTGATGAACTACACCAGTGAGTCGGATCTATGAAGGTAGTAAAATGTGGGAAGTTCTCTGTGGCCCTGAGGTTTTAGTCCTGGTTTGGTAAACCAACCCATGACACTTGTCAGGGCTTGAGATGGAGGTGGGAGCCCCATGCCACTGGTGGCTGCGGCATCCCTGGATTGCAGGCGGGAGCTGTCGCTTGCTCACGTGTACTTAGAGTTGCTGTGGGAGTAGTTTGGCAGCTTTGTGTCGATCGAATGTCTTTGGCGAGGCAGCTGGCAGGAAAAGGCCTTTTGGACACAAAGGCACTGGAGGACTGCTCAGCTGGGTGAGGCTAGAATGTGAGAACTCACACGTGGCCCAGGCTGTGTCTTTCCAGCAGAATCTGATTAAGGCCAGTAACACTATAGGGTGAAGGTTCAGGGCAGATGTCAGCATAAGGCAGTGGAGACTTTCTGCAATGGAACTTGACCGAGCCCTAGGGAGAGAGATACAGCTTAACCTCTGGCTCCTAGGAGTGCCAGCCGTACAGGTACCTAGAGCAAATGCTAGAAATGCAGAAGTGTGGACAAGTACTGGTATGATTCAGTTAACATTCTCTTCTCATTCTAAACCAGTGGCAAAGTCCAGAGTGGTATTAAAATACAAAATTTTACATCCATTCGTGTGATGCGCAAGGGAGCTCTCCCCTATAAGGAGTATTACCTGTCATACTTTAAAACTGCTTACAACTGGAAGAGCAAACAGTTACACTTCTGTTTACACTATGGCTAGCCTGCATGCTGTCATGGGAGATTTATCCAGATTACCCCCTAGGGTAATTCCTCTGGTATGGAAATTCACTCTTTCCTTCCTTTTGCCTTGTCAGTGTCACTTAATCCTTGCTGTGATCCCATGTAATAGGTTGAGTATTAGCCAATGTTCTATGCTGGCTGACTTTTACTCTGGCTGCCCATACTATAAAAACAGAGCTCTTGGACAACTGACTTACCTGCTTGTTATTTGCTCCTCTGGAACAGGAGATAAACCAAGTGATAATTTGAGGAAAATATGCTAAACCCAGTGCAATTTCAGGGAATAAGCTGTCATCACAACCTAGATTTTTTTAAAGTGCGACTAATTAAATGGAGATTCAAAGGAGATGCAAGACACTCAGTTTTCAAAAAGTCAAAGGGCTCTGGAGAATTCCTAGTTGTAATGATGGTAACAACCCAGACCTGCAGCCAGCTAGGAAGCTCAAGCTTCTGATTTCCTGAGCAGTGTCAGGATGGCTCTAGTCCCAACATTAGTCCTGCTCCCACTGGGAACTCCTGGGCTTTGCCTCCTGCCTTCTACAAGGAGGTGTGAGGGACCGAGAGCCATGGTGGGCAGGACCACCATCCTGTCACACAGCTTACCTGAGGCAGCGCTCGGATGGATGTGACACCAGCTTGTTCTTGTGCCGTCTGGACTGTGTAGTTACTGGGGCTGCCCATGGGGAGCTGGAGGCAGGCCCAGACCACCAGCTTCCTCTGAAAGCCACGTACACCCACAGCTGCATTGGCCAAGACCAGGCCCAGAGGCCAGAGGCGGATTATTGCTGCCAGGAGGCTGGTCTGTGCCTGGGGCAGCAGGAAGGAAGCCGAGGCAACAGGAACTTGAAACACGTGTTTTTCTTGCACACCATCCAGTTCTTTAGAAGCAAGGAAAGCCATTCTGATCTTAAAAAAAGAATGCCACTTTATAGCTTTCAATTTATTAGCTCTTCTAAGGGAAACCAAAATTGTCTTTAATAAAATAGCTTAACAAGGTAAACTGAAGGGCACCTGGCTGGTGAACAGCTGGATACCTTCAGCTACATTGGAGCCATGTGGTAGAACTTTATACCCAAAAGTAACTGGACTTAGGTCTTACATGTGCTACTTTAAAAATAATAACCTTGAGATCTAATTGATAGACCATAAAATTCACACTTTAAAGTGTATAGTCCCATGATTTTTAATATATTCCCAGAGTTGCTTATGCCACTCTTTCTGTGTCCGAACCATCCTGCTGTGTCGGAGGTACTTCAAATGCGAGGAGCTTGAGGCCATCCAGTGTGTGGTGGCAGGGTCATTGTTCCACCCTGGGGCCACCTGACACAGACTACCCACTGCCCATCCTGACTGCTAGTCAGATACTCACTCTCCATTTCTGCCATGTGCGCTTGATGGCCGTGGCAGCCACGTGCATCCTCTGGATGTGTTTCCGAGCTAACCAGGAACGAATAGCTAAGGAGTTTGCCCAGAAACGAGAAAGAAGTAAAGGAAATGTTGGTTAGAACTGTTAGCAGCCTGGCTCTGCAGCAACATCCAAGCTGCGACGAAGTTTGGAATAGGTGCTTTTTCAATGAATGGCCACCTCGTGCCACTACGTAGGGTAAGGATCTAATGTGAATACCTGAAGCAAACCTGGCTCTGACCCCTCACTGTTTAGACGGGAGAGACCCCACTTGGAATGGCAGCTGGGAGGCTCACCTGCCTCAGGCTCTGGCTGGGACAATGCCCAGGGTACAGGAAGTATCTCTTATTTGGGAAGTCCTGGATTGAATTTGTTTGCTGGCTTTATGAAATCACAAATAGTGACCCCACCGTACATCCACATGTTGGTAAAGGGAATGACTACTGGATGGCAGACTGGTTGGCAATTTTTCGTTTCCTTCTCTTGAAATTTCAGCATTTACTGGTTCTTTTTGGTACCATTATATTCAGAAAAAGAGCTATTCCATTAAATATTAATACATTTAGGTTCTAGAAAACTAAAGTTTAAAGACAAATCCAGATGTTATTTCACCAACCACCAGATGGTTCTGTGTTTCCTTTTGCAATTGCTTTATGCCTATACACACAGAAATGTGCCTGAGGGAGGTGCATTGCCCTTGACGTATGTTTTGGCATCCTGGTTTGAATGGAATATTGGAAGTAGTCTTCCATTAAATTTAAAATATTCCGCATAAAGACTTCTCAGCCGGGGCTCCTTGGTAGCTCAGTCTGTTAAGCATCTGACTGTAGCTCAGGTCATGATCTCGTGGTTCATGAATTCAAGCTCCACATTGGGCTCTTTGTTGACAGCTTGGGAGCCTAGAGCCTACTTCAGATTCTGTTTCCCTCTCTCTCTCCCTCCCCCGCTCATGCTCTCTTTCTCAAAAATAGATACATTAAAAAAAAAAGATTTCTTGGGTGCCTGGGTGGCTCAGTTGGTTAAGCGTCCGACTTCAGCTCAGGCCATGATCTCACTGTTTGTGGGTCCGAGCCCCGCGTTGGGCTCTGTGCTAACCGCTAGCTCAGAGCCTGTAGCCTGTCTTCGGATTCTGGGTCTCCTCCTCTCTCTGACCCTCCCCTGCTCATGCTGTCTCTCTTTCTCTCTCAAAAATAAATAAATAAATCCCCTGTTCATGCTGTCTCTCTTTCTCTCTCATAAATAATAAAATAATTTCTTAGCTGCCATAAGAATGGTCTATAATAACAGCCATGACTTCACCACTGTCAGATATTTGGGTTGTTTCTAGTATTTTTCTTTTCTTTTTTTAAAAAAAATTTTTTTTAATGTTTTATTTATTTCTAGGAGAGAGAGAGAGAGAGGGAGACACAGAATCTGAAACAGGCTCCAGGCTCTGAGCTGGCTGTCAGCACAGAGCCTGACGTGGGGCTCGAACCCACGAACCGCGAGATCATGACCTAAGCAAAAGTCGGACGCTTAACCGACTAAGCCACCCAGGTGCCCCTAGTATTTTTATTTTCAAAATAAGACTGCTGTGAACATGGTTTCTATATCTCTTCCTTTGATGAATCAAATCTTGTCAAATCTTTACCTCCTTAAACTCAGCAGGTAGTGATTTGTCATAATAGGCAAAGGAACATTGCATAAATCACTTTCTAGGTCTGGGAAAGGGGAATTATGGCAAATTTTTAGCCTCTACTGCCTACAGAACACCCCACTCTTTTATGTGGTGACCTGGTTTCCATTAAACTGGAGAGACACCCTGGGTGAGGTGGATCAGAATTCCAATCCCAGGGCACCATAGGCTTGTGCTGTCAATGTCTTGAAGCTGGGACACAGCTTTGGTATATGGGTGTTCAAGCAGCAGCATTTCTTTTTTTTTTTTTTTAATGTTTTATTTCCTAGAGAGACAGTGTGAACAGGGGAGGGTCAGAGAGAGAGGGAAACACAGAAACTGAAACAGGCTCCAGGCTCTGAGCTGGCTGTCAGCACAGAGCCCAACACGGGGCTCGAACCCACAAACTGTGAGATCATGACCTGAGCCTAAGTGGGACACTTAACTGAGCCACCCAGGCGCCCCAAGCAGCAGCATTTCAAAGGAAACCTGTATTGTACAAGGCATGCAGTAGCTAACAGGGTCTGCATCCAGGTCTGTCTGCTGGCCTGGAACGTGGCTGTGTGCCCAGAGCCCCAACTCTCCTACCTGCCTGGATGAGCGTGGCAGCCCGCCTCTGCCTCTCCTGCTTGCGGTGCCGGTGTCGCCGCCAGCTTCCCTGGATGCAGCAGGCACACTGCTCCAGCACCTGGGCACGCCCACATTCCAGAAGCTCCAGCTGGGAGAAGAGGTATCCATTGAAGTCTGCAGCCTCTCCTTCCACTGCCCTGAGGTGGACCCAGACCTTGTCCTGCTGAGCAGAGCACGCAGCTAGTGAACTCTGCTCCTTGTCACAAACCAGCTTACCATGGAGTCGGTCATGAACACTTTGGTCCTGCCACAATGTACTGGGGCTGGTGTGGCCTCGGCTGGGTCACGCGGTGTGGCTGCTGCCTGAGTTAGAGCTGGAAGAGTATGGAGGATGTCCTGGAGGAGAGGTT